CATACGCTTCATCATTATCTATTCAATAAATTTAACTCTAGAACTGTGCTTTAATTAAGGCCTTGATTTTTGAAGACCTGTATTGTATTGTATTTGTTATTATTATTATTATTTTTTATTTAGCGTTTTCTATTTCTGTTTGGCAGTTCTAATATAAAGCTAACCTCTCAACTCCGTTTTCAAGAGGTTTGTTTTAATTCTATGTTTTTCCTGTAAATAAGCTTGTTTACATCTTGAATAAAGTTAGTATATTATTTTATGTTATGTTATGCTATGTTGTGGTTTTGCCGGGGGCTTCACAAGTGTTTCTCATACAAAAGTCAACTCGCTAATGCGCACACTTCATTGCCCGCTGTGTTCTATGATAAAACTTTCCTGATTTATATCGAAGGTAAAAAAAAGAACCTTTGGCTGACAGCATGTCGATGTTCCCAGCGCTTCAGTTTATCGGACCGGATGAATCAAGAAGTCAATTTCAGAGTCAGATTAAACGAGCTATGCAGAGAACCAAATTTAATCAAGTAATGCCGTGATAATTTATTAGCGACAGTTTTGGGTGTTTCCATGAACATAGTTGGCTAAATGACGACTTTGTGAAGGTTAGGGGTGTTTAAATTGACAAAGTATGTCCTGTTTTATTTTCTTTGTAATCTGTTCAATAATAGGAGTGGCCCAATTGCAGTATTTTTGACTTAAATAATGGCCTAATTTATACTAGAGACGAACTATTCGCCTAGATGGATTATTCGTCAGACGGATGTTAAAAAATTCGTCTAAATTCGAAGAAGAATTTTGACGAATAATTTGTCTAGATATTTTACACGGGAAACAGGAAACACTGCGAAAATATAGAAACCAGTCCCTCTCGTGTGGAAACTTCGTAAAAAAAACCGTCTACGTTCCGTCTAGATATAATTTAGAGACAGATCGTCCGTCTAAGACGAATTTTCCGTCTGTTAGCACGTCTTCTGCCATCCGGTCACGCTTGCATGGTTTTCCATACAAATCCTCGTAATTTCGAAATTTTCACTGTCATGAAATATTTCCTTAAGCATTACAGGGCTCAACTCTTCTTTTAATTCATGACAGGCAATTTGAGCCCTTATGTGCGTAAGGGAAAGATTTAACGACAGTTTAAAAATTTTAGAATTTACAAGGATTTGTATGGAAAACCGTGCAAGAGTGACTGACTGAGTGGCAAAAGTTGTTTCTCTCATTCAAATACTTCTAACTTTTAGCGGCCGTTGCCGATGGCTACTTTTGAGTTATACAGCTGAAAATTCTCATGTTACCTAATTTTAATATGCTCTTTCAGCTTGTGCTAACAAAATTTTTCAAAAGTGAATTATTTTTGTGTTTACCGAAAGTTGATCACGTGATCGCAGTCATGCAAAGACTACGGCAAAAAAGTCGATTCGCATTCTTTCAAACTTTTTCGCGATTATTACAAGTCGCTTATTTTGTCAAATGTAGACAAACTCATAGAGGAAAAAAGTTCGTCTTCGTTTGTTTACGTCCTCCGAATAAAACGTGAAATTAGGCATTTTTACGTCGTGGTCGTGCAGTGATGGCAAAGAAATGTTGATACAATAAGATGTACGTGTAAAGTTGTTCTTTTTCGTTTTGTTTTTTTCGTTTTTGAAAAGTTGATTTGCTAATAAAATTTATTGAGTGGCCGTATTGCGCTTCCCGAATACGTAGAAGATCATAGCGGGCCGTGGTGTCTAGTGGGGTAAAGTATTAAGTTGTATTTTTCGTGCTTGGAACGTCAGTGTATATTTGAAACAGAATCGCCAGATATACCCATCTTATCCTTTTTTGGTCGAGTTGACCATTTTTCAAGGCTCATTTTTCGATTATGAGCCCCAAATTCGGTGTCAAGCACGAAAAATGAAAAATACAGCCAAATACAGTTGACAGGAAAGAGGATATTTATTTTATTTTATTTTATTTTATTAGATTCGGCAACTATTGGCAGGGTCACCGCAATAGTATGACGCCAATTACTGCGGGCCCGTAACAGTCTTTCCCCCCATGAGAGATAGACCACCACACCGTGGACTACGTCCCCTACTCTTTACGAACAGTGTGTGGGTTCCTTAACGCCCCACAGAATTTATATATGCAAGGGCTGTGAGACGGGGCATACGGTTTATCGTCCTTATCCGAGAAGACTTGAAAGTCTAACCGTTTGCAGAGGTCTTTACAAAGGTAACACTTTCTCCTCAGTTATTTAAAGACCCTGAGTGTTGGTCCGGCCGGAACTTGAACCAGCGGCTTCCAGCTCGGCGGACCGGCGCTTATCCAACTGAGCTAACTGGGCGGCGGTTAAGCGATATCATATCACCAAGTGTAGACTTTCAAAAAAAGTCCTTCGTCGGATTTCATATGGCGCGGGACGAAGACCTCTCGCGACTTCGTCGCGCTCGGCCGCTTCGCGGCCAAACAAGGCTCGCTCCGCTCGCCAAGAGGTCGACTTGTAGCAAGTCTACACCAAGTGGTGTGAATAAGACTGATAAAACACAAGCAAGCCCTGAATTTGCACATGCTGCCCATGCATCGCCCGTATTTTATGAATGTTTTTTTAACATTTCCTTGCCTTGGGGGGTCACTGCACGGCTTCAACCTCAGGAGAGTTCGCCAACATTTGTACAAAGTGAGCGAGTTGGAATAGTCGCAATAAAGAATAAAAGAACGCGAATGAATTTTTATTAAGCGACGTTTTCACCGCTACACGAGCTGTTGAAGTTGAGGCATTGACGGGTGGTTCATGCTTCAGCTGTGCGTGTGTCAAGATATTGAGCAGGTGGAAAGTTTGGTCTCCCGTGTGCTCAATATCTCAAGATACGCACGCTGACGCATAAACTAATATTGCTAATTAATAGGCCCGGTTCAAACGTCGAATTTCACATGTGCCGAACTTAACGCAAGAGTTAAATGCATGTGAAGTGCGACGTTTGAATCAATTAAATTCGACTGTTTCAATTAAATGCGACGTTTGCCGTATCTGCGACTGAAACAGTCGAAGATTCGACTTAGGTTCGACTTTTGATTCAAACGTCGCATTTCACATGTGCCGAACTTAATGAATGAATTTTAGTAAATTATTATTATATTACTGAGAATATTGACAGCGAAGAGAGTTAAATTCGACAGAGTTCAGTGAGATAAATTCGACGTTTGAATCAAATGCCGTATTTAACTATTTTAGTCGACTAAAATAGCAATTAAATTCGGCACATGTGAAATTCGACGTTTGAACTGGGCCCAAGTTTTATTATTGTAGCGCGCGCTCAAAGCAGTATAAAGCGTCAATATCTGCGCCACTATTTTTTTTTTACCTCAAAGTTATGTTTTTGTCTTGAAACTGAGAGAAAGTTTAACCAAGTCGCTTAAGATAACATTAAAAAAGACTGTAAAATCCATATTGAGGTGCCGGAAAACTCTTAATTCACCGAACAATTCTTTTTGAAAGAAATAACTTTGTAAAGAGTGATTTTACACACGCCATTAGCCCGCACAGCTGGAGCAGATGACAACACTGAACAACACTCCCCCCTGCAATCGGTTAACAAATTCAAAAGTTTTCTCTTAAATTTACGTCATAAAACACATGGTCAACGCTTCATCGTGTACTGTCGAGTTATGGATGCACTTGGATGTCAGGCGTCTTGGGTGGATTGTTAAGCTCACAAGAACTCGAAGTATAGTATATTGACGTCATCAGCGTGCTTAATGGGAATTAGTGAAGCACGCTCGGGCCATTAAATTTGATTAGGCGAATATTCTAGCTACATTAAGTTTGAGCTGATAGAGTAATTTTACTTGAACCATGAAACAGATACTAACAAATAGCAAGCAAAATAGCGAGAGGTAAACAAAAGAAGACAATTGAATTAGTGCATAATAGTGCGTAGTATTCTACTACCTTTTTTTCGGGTCAAGTAAAATCACTCTATAGCAACTAAGTCAGTCCAGCATTTATAGTATTTGGATAAGTAATGATTGGAGAGGAGTGAGAGGGAATTCTTAAATTATAGTTTTTTTTTTGTAGGCCTAGAGCGGAGTGAAAGGGGATGAACGTTCCAAAAAGATCATCCAATGATTGTTGGAAAGAACTTTCAGTATGCGTTTGATTTTTAAAACTGGAAATACATAGTTATTCTGAAGAGACATTACTAGTACCAGGCGAGTAGTATAGCATGTTGTACTGATAAAAATGGTATCATGAATTGCAGGGTATGAAATCACATAAGAGATCAAAGAGAAAGAAACCTTTTATGAAGTTTCAACATGTCAGGAAATTTCAAAATGCCTAGATATTGGCACAGTGGGGGGTAATATTATCTATAATTTTGGGAACATCATTAATTACTCAAATTGTTCCATTCTGAAGTTGAACTTCATCATTTCATCATAATAATACTAATTATTACCCCACAGTATAGAACCATACGTTAAATCTCTGAGGATGTATGAAAGAGTTCTCCAGGGTTTCTTTACACAAAAAAAGTATTCAACATCAAAGGGGGTTTTCAATGGGGTAGTAGCTTTGACACCGACGGTTAATTTTTTCCAATTTTGACGGTTGACAATACTGAAATGGAAATTTAGTCCAAGAGTTTAAGTAAATATCAACGTCTGTACAAACTGATATAAATTGTTGTGTTTTGGAGGTTTTCTTGGCTTTTCACTTTTAAAATCACGAAATATTTTCGGATGTAAGCAATTTGTAAGTCTTGTAATGTCTTGAGGTAGTGTTTTTGAGAAACATCAGGCCCAGACTGTTTTTTCCAGTTTAGAGATTCTTAAGAAGCAAGAAGTCCGTGAATATCAGCTTAAAGTTAAGAGTGACTATTGATATGCCTTAGAACTTTGTGACGGCTAGTATCTTTCTGCATTTTTGACCGTTGACGGTAAAAAATTGCCTTTTTTTTCCACGTCTGACTGTTAAATTTTAGGCTCTTCGCCGGCTGATGATTAACCCGCAATATGTCCTTTCTAAGGGCTGCTATAGTTCGGCATACTTCCTCACTTGAGTCCACATAAAAAAATCTTTTGTTAAAAAGATCTGCGACATTTTTGTAATGCTCTATTTGTTTTTCCATACAGCGACTATCCCATAACCAATCATAGTTTTCGAAATTGAATAAGTTGACATGAATGTTAGTTTGATTATATTCCCTGCATAGATCGCCACAGAGTTTTATTCCAAAAGAATAACATAGGCCTTCAACCAATGTGTCATTGACGAAAAGTACCGTTGGTTCTACTGCATCCATGTATTTTCCATTCAGCATGAAGTGGCGTACGTGTATCGAAGAACGCGGATGTGGAATCTTTTCCTCTGGCTTGACTTCAGTGAAGAAATAGTCATACGGTACTGAGGCGTTTAATGCGGGACGAGTAGGTTTGACATACTGCAAATGCCATGCGTATTCATTTCTGTGGTAGTACCACATGTAGTTGCACATGGTACTATAATGGCAGTAACACGACCAATGCATATTGAGTTTGTAGGTTGTTTCAAAAATAACTTGTTTAAAGTCTTTACCGTGCAATTTAGCCACATACTGACGAAATTCTCTGATATGTGCCGTTTTGAATGTCACGGGGAAATAATGCATACACTGCATGACTTGCTTTCGACCAAGTATATAGGCAGCACTTTCAATCCAACAAGGAATTCTAGGGTCTCCGATTCTTCCCGTTACCACAGGTTTCCCATCTTCCAGAATTAAG